AAATTAGTGGACAAAAGTTAGGATCCTAGAACAGTCCATGTCCTCTGACAGAAAGGCATGAAAGAAACAGAATCATGGTAGATAGCAGTTGACCATCTTAGGAGTCCCGCTAACAGGGTAAGTGCCAGAAACCTACAGCAGGGATACCTGGCAACACTTTCCCTCCTTCTGCAGACAAGGCATCACGGTATAAATGAAGAATCAGGAGACCTGGGTTCTAGTTCTGAGCTTGCCACTAATCAGCGATGTGTCACTTCCCCTGTCTGAGCCTAGGTTTCTCTTTCAGTTAAATGGAAGGGCTGCGCTAAATGATCTCCTGTCCCTTCCTACTCTAAAAATGTTACCATTCTGGCCTTCCTTCCAAGGCCTTTTTAATTGAAACTTGTATCACTTTTCAATTCAGAGAGAAATGTTTCTGAGGCCTAAGTGAGAAGCTGAGTTTTCAACAAAGGCAGCTATGCAACTTTTTACTTTTCAGACCAAACAATTCTTTGGGGGAGCTTGATCTCAGTTCTCATAACTTAAAAATCAAGATTTTGTCATTACTCCAATCTAAAATAATATACTGTGACTCCAGGGAGATCAGCTCGGTGCTTTGTGACCACCTAGAGGGGTGGGATAGGGAGGGTGGGAGGGAGGGAGACGCAAGAGGGAAGAGATATGGGGATATATGTATATGTATAGCTGATTACAAGTATAGCCAAAATACAAATATTTTGGTTGCCAACACAAAAATAAAGAATGCTCAAAATGTCACATTTAATTTTATAACATGTTTCAGTGCCAGCCTTTAGTAGGTATATGTATAATCCACACAAATTAGCAGGAACATTCATTTCATATATAATTTACCCAATAAATATTTAATTTCAAATCTATGGGTCTCGAATCATGTACCCAACACCATCCAGTCTGTTAAACTCTCCTCGAATTAAAGATGAGGAAATGAAATGACTCATAGTCCAGGGCTTTTTTCTACTATACCAAACTTCCTCCTCCCTTTCCTGCTTTATCAAAAGACAGCACGATAGCAGAAAAGAACTCTAGACTGTGAAACTCATCTGGATTCTAGTCCTAACTTTGCCATTAGTTTGCTGTGGCACCTTGGACAAGTCACTTTACTTTTTCCAGGCTTTAGCTTTCACAACATTTTACATGAAGGAGTTTAACTAGATGTCCCTTCCAGCTGTAACATGCTATGATCTTATAACATTCCTATCTGACAAAACAAGATACACATTCTTGAAACAGAAAGTGGGAATTTCTAGCCAAGAGAACTGAAAAGTTTGTGCTGCTAGTTCTAAATATATGCATCAGTTCAATTTAGCAAGTTGGTCCTAAAGCATTTTACTCCAGCATCTCTTGGAGGAGGTTACCCTGTATAAACACACACACACACACACACACCACACACCCAGTATGGGGCAGCTATGATGTACTAGAAAAAATACTGGAGTAGAAGTCCGAAGAACTGGTTTCAAATCCCAGCTTTCACTTATAAGCTGTGTCTCCTAGGCCAATTCATTAACCTCTCTGAGCCTAAGGTTTCTCATTAAAACGGAGATAAGAATAAGGAAACCTGACTTGAAATACCAATCAAAATAAAGCATTATAACTGATGCACACTGCAAAGCTGTACAAGTGGAGATGATCTGCCACTGTGTTATAATAGGGTGCATTCGAATCAAGCCTTTCTATAAACAACTGGGCTTATTTTTAATTTATTAAATTTGCTTTCAAAGAGTAGAATAACAAAGTTGAAGACACCACTGGAGGGGGAAAAGAAGAAATAAATCAATTTTAGGAAATGGATTGTTTATCTGGATTCTGCTGATTAACAAAACACGAGATAACTCTCAACAGTCTACTCAGTTTACTACAATTTGGTGAAATGGTCTGTGTACTCTAGAACGCGCAATGCAAGGAACATTTCTTAAAGTGCCCAAACTCAGTCTGTTAACTTCTTAGAGTTTGTATGGTATGCTACTCCAAGTATATCTCAAGGGAGAGAGGATACTTCTAATGACCAGATATCTAGTGATACCATGTGTTTCCACAAATCAAGATTTCTCACTGCATTTCTAGGTTGTTAGTTACCCATCCAAGTCTCCTCACAGTACCTTATGCAAAATGACAAAAACTGTCACAAAGGACAGAGGAAATGCTAATGATGCCAACCTTGTGCAGTCCTCCCAGTACTGCTAGTTCTTTTCAGATGCAATTCTCCAGATGAGTCTAATTCTCTTCCAAATCCCCTCACTAATGCAGGATGGAGCTGAAAAATTCACAGACTAACAGTTTTATCTACAGAGCTCAACACTCTCAATATATAGGCAGGTTAGAGTTAAAATCAGAAGGCTGGGTCCCAAGAGATGTTTTTACTTTTCACCTAGCATATCAAAGGATCAAAGTGCTTGAGAAACTATATTATCCCACGAGGGAATAAGTGACTTTATCAATTCTATCAAAATGACTCATTCGGTTTGGATATGTTAAATAACTCCAAGTTCTGCATACTTCCTCCCAAAGTAAGCACTGTGTGAAGTTAAATTTGCTAATTCCAAGAAAGGAAGGAGAAGTGAATGAACATTGCAGTTCTTTCTCTGTGCCAGGTACTGGACTACTAGGCAGTTTACACAGGTCCTGATGTAGCTGTCCTTCAAACTTAAATTTGTTATATTCATTGAAAAGGAACAATATTCACATAGCTCTAAATTGATTAAATCATGTCGACGGTTATTTCCCTTCCCCCTCCACGCGTGCACACACACACACACACACACACACACACACACACACACACAACAACAACAACAACTAAAGGATTAGGTCTCTTATTTAACCTGAATTGACAGTTCATTACTTTAAAGGGAATACCAAAAAGACAAAATTTAATTTCAGGGGGCTCCAATGTACTTGGTAATCCAAGTGAATTTTCTATCCTCTAACATCTAGCTATGAACTTGTTTCATATATTGAACTTGAAGGAGATTCAATGCCATCTCAAGATTGGCCATTGCAGCCCCCAAATCCCATAACAGTGATTTGAACGTTGGTGGAAACACACTCATCAGTGATCTACCAACGTAGAAAGTTCTCTCTGATTTTGTTGCTGTAACTTTTGAGGTATATATTATATATAATACATATTAGGTTTTAGAACGACTTCTAGAATGTACAGATAACATTATCTGCATTAAGATATTTCTTCCACGGGTAAGCTTGCAAATTGAAGGCAGCTGACTCCTGGAACCATATTAGTGACTTACATTAACATACAAATTTTACCGATTTTCAAGTTCTTATCGCATGAAAATGTATTTCACTGCCTCTAGTTCCACACAAGCCCAGTAGAAGAGTTCGGTGAAATCGCTTTAAACATATTCCAACTTTGAAAAGTGGAGGAGTGGGTAAATAGAAGTCCCAGGCAAGCGAAGCATTCCAACTACTCTATTTCCTACTCAGAATCTCCCGTATTAATCACCACTAAAACATCTTGCAGAATTAGATAAAGAGCACAAAGCTGTGGCTCTCCTAACCACAGATTACTCAGCACTTGTTTGTATCTCTGTAGTCGGTTGTGCACATTTATGTCCGGCTACGCTTTTAAGACCGCATTCTCCCTAATGGCAAAGGACCTTGTCTTCGATTTCCTTTGCCTCACGGCAAGGTGCTATTTTAATAAAACACCGTGGATCTAGAGTACATCACCTAGAGGACTTTCCTAAGTAAACACCCAATCGTCCCCCCCCACTCCACGCTCCGCTCCTTTTCTTTCTGTGCAACGAAGAGAAGAAGGCAAAATAGGGAGAGGTACAGTCACCCCTGAAACGAATAGGTAAGTTAGCGGCACTAACTACTGGGCACTGTAATTTCTCCTGTTGCTGCTCCTTTAAACTATGGCCCCCAAGGCTAAAACGGATGTTTCCAAAGTATGCTCTGAACCCCACACATACAAATTTCCGGCTCTCAGGTTCGTAAACTGTCCCACCTCTTAGAAAGCTGGACAAGACAAGAAAGGAACCCCTGGGGCCGTTCACCAGGGAAAAGAGGAGGGTTTGCCCGAAGTGGCCAATCGCCCTCCCCCGACTGTCTCTTAAGTGCCCGAGGGAGGCGGAGAGGAGCAGCGGTGGCGGACACAGCCGGCCCTGGGAGGGGTGTAGGGGGGAAGGCACGGGGGAAGGCACAGGGGAAGCCGGGGGACGGGGACGCCCGGCTTGTGGGCCATGGCTCCGGTTACTTACCCTACAGGGTAGCCGCCCCCTAGGTGCACATCTTCAGGGGCATCAAAGAATTCCTCTGTGTCGCTTTCCGACGCCATTTATAAGACACACCCGCGGGTGAGGGAGCCGGCGCCGCCTGGAGGGAGGGTGACTCTCGTCTCCTCCTCGTCGTCCTCCACCCCGGCGAGGCCGTGGGGAGGTGGGCCCCGGGGAAGGATGAGGAGGGAGCAGACGATCTGAAGTGAGGAGCCGGACAGTGGCAGGGGGCCGCCGGGAGCTGCCGGACTGAGGGAATGACCAGCAGTGCGGCCGCCTGAGGAGGCGCCGGTGGGTTCAGGGACTGTTGCTGCCGCCGCTCCCGGCGATAGGTGTATGAGGAGAGCGAGAGAAGAGGCGGTGGCTCTCCTCAGTGGGGGAGGGCGGGCACGCCGACGACAGCAGCTCCAATTTCTCCCGCAGCTGCAATTACAGCAGCTGGGAAAGCTAGTTGCCCGCAAAATACGGACGCTCACCAACCCTCGCGAGATTTCTGGAGAGGCCTGTAAGGCGTGGGCGGAGCGAAGAGGAGGCGGGGGCGGTTCCTGGGAAGCAGCGCTCAGATTTCTTGTACTCGAAAAGCCTATCAAAACGGCGCAAGCGCGTTGAGGGCGTTCGGTGAGGGCCGGAAGTAGCGGGGAAGGGTGGTGATGAGCGTCCTGAGGGGAGGAGTCTAGAACCCGCGCAGGAGCGGCGAGGTTCCCCGGCCTTGAGAGCGCGCCCGACGTAGGTGGGGTCCGGCAGAGTGTTCTACCCACTAAGTCTGTAGTTCCAAAGAGGCATTTTTAGAGGGGTGATTTGGGGTCTGCTTTTTTTCTTCCAAGGAAATGCTGTCGGGAAAAGTTAGCATTGTGGTTTGAATCTACTTCGTTTTAATTTTTCCAAGCGCGGAATATCCCACCCTAGGGAGTAGGCAGGTCCACCTCCTCTAGCGTTACGGGCATAACCCGTCTTATTTACTACAAGCTGTCTAATTGAGATCCCTAGATACGATCCTGCCGGCCAGAGGGTGGGGTCCAAGAGAGATACGTGGGGAGCGTGACAGTTGCATGGAGTAATGATGGATTTGTTGCTGGAGCTGAGCCACTGTAGGGCCTCCGGTTACTTTCTCCCTACAAATACGCATTTTTGCCGACACTTAACGCGAGAGAAATTCTTACATACTGGCCAAGATGTGCGTCAGCCAAATGGTAAATATATATTGAGCAGATTCCGTTGCAAGGCTAAGAGCTAGTAACTTAATTCTAATCCTCGACTGCCCAATGTCCAGTGATGAAAATAGAAAGGTGCTTTTTAAAAGACCAAGATGTTCTTTCTTAACGCATCATGGACCATCAAAGTGATAATACTGACTTCCTATGGGATTGGGAGGCACATTTACTTTTCCCACTGCCATGACAGGAAGGAAGGCGCTCTGATCCGTTTGCAGCCTCAATTGTTGCTCAAGATGGTCACAGAAAAGATAAGTGGGACCAGTGGCATGGCCTCAGGCTGGAATGGGGCTCTAGATTACTCCGGAAAGCAACCAGGAAAAGATCTGCAGTTGTGTAAAACCAAATGCCATAGATTGTGTATTCTTTAACACCCTAGAAGTTCAGGGAAAACGCTGCATAATGAAATAGGGTAATATTTTTTGCAGTAAACCATATGATTATTCATACGTGGTAAATAAATACCAGTAAATAGCCTCCTTCAGTTCAGATCAGCTACTACTGTCAAGTAAGTTTAGGTTAGAGTAATTTAACTGTCAATAAGTTACTAAAAGTACAAAACAAAAATGGTTTCCAGAGCTTTGGGGATTTAAGAATTGCACATAAGGGATTTGTGGATCCTTTGAGGACATGACTTTTGGCACTGTCCAATAATTATTAGCTTTTTTTGTTGTTTAAAAATATTTATTTAGGGCTTCCCTGGTGGTGCAGTGGTTAAGAACCTGCCTGCCAACGCAGGGGACACGGGTTTGAGTCCTGGTCCGGGAAGATCCCACATGCCGCGGAGCAACTAAGCCCGTTCGCCACAACTACTGAGCCTGCGCTCTAGAGCTTGCAAGCCACAACTACTGAAGCCTGTGCTCTGCAACAAGAGAAGCCCGCACACTGCAACCAAGAGTAGCCCCCGCTCGCCGCAACTAGAGAAAGCCCGGGCGCAGCAACGAAGGCACAACACAGCCAAACATGAAAATAAATAAATAAAATAAATAAATTTATTTAGCTGCATCGGGTCTTAGTTGCGGCACGGGGGATCTTTTAGTTGTGGCATGTGAACTCTTCGTTGCGGCATGCGGGATCTAGTTCCCTGACCAGGGATCGAGCCCTGGCCCCCTACATTGGGAGCACAGAGTCTTAGCCACTGGACCACCAGGGAAGTCCCTAGCTTTTATGTGTTTTAAACATGTTAATTTCCTAGGTATAAAAATATATCTCAAAGTACTAACTTTTTATTTTGTTGCTCACTAGGAGAGATATGCTATTTTCCTTATGGATTATGGAAAGATACAAGTAAATAAACTACCTGAATTTATTCTCTTCCTAGCTTTCTGATAGTGAATTTACATTTGCCTTAAAAATTAAAGTTTGGGGCTTCCCTGATGGCGCAGTGGTTGAGAGTCCGCCTGCCGATGCAGGGGACACGGGTTTGTGCCCCGGTCCGGGAAGATCCCACATGCTGCCGAGCGGCTGGGCCCGTGAGCCATGGCCACTGAGCCTGCGCGTCCGGAGCCTGTGCTCCGTAACGGGAGAGGCCACAACAGTGAGAGGCCCGCATACCGCAAAAAAAAAAAAAAAAAAAATTGAAGTTTGGTGTCATGTATTATTCTAGGTGCTGAGGATAATTCAAAGATGAAAAAGACAACTTAGTTCCTCTCTTCCAGAAGCTCACAATCTAACAATGGATGAAAACACAGAGTCCCAATTTGGTGCTTTTTTTCACTATACCATACCACCTCTCTTGGACCTTTTAAGGTACTTTAAACATTATACTTAGAAAACAGTTAAAATGAACTAGGAAAGATTAAGCTGATAACATTTTTAGAGCTGTTAAAATTATCTATGTAAATGCTTTTATCAATTTTATGAGAAAGTGAATTTCTGGGAACATCAAAACACATGTGTACCACCTATGATCGTTTTTAAAGATGTCAGAAGATGTGTTTGTTTTGCCTGAAACATCTGTTCTTGAGTTTTAAAGGAGCAGGTTTTAGGCTTAGTCCAAGGCAGTGGTTTTGAAGCCTTTCTCCTTATTAGAAATGGAACCCTTTAATCAAGCCTAATTTCATGCAAAAGTCCACATATCATAAAAATAAAAACAATTTTAGTTGAAGCAGGGATAGTTCAGTTTCCTGCCTGCTTGGCCTTCCTTGAGTCTCAAGAGACTGCTGCAAGGCTCCATCAAAAAAAAAAAAAAAAAGAAAGAAAGAAAGAAAAAGAAAGTTATTGGTCCAAAGCAGGGGTTGGAAAATTATGGTACTGGTACACTAGACAAATCTGTCCTGCTGTCTCTTTTTGTAAATAAAGTTTTATTGGAACACAACCAGCCCTATTTGTTTATATATTGTATATGTTTGCTTTCAGAGCAGAGTTGAGTAGTCGGGACAGAGACTCTATGGCCCTCAAAGCCTAAAATATTTACTCTCAGCCTCTTTGCAGAAAAATTTTGCCAACCCCTGATCCAGAGGATACTATTTTCTAGGGTAACTGAGAACTGAAATTACACTCAAATTAAATGGTTGTTTGAATTAGTTTCACAACAGAATTGTATAATGGCACAAAATTATACGTATAGATAAAAATGAGAAGAAAATATTTTCCCACCTGGCTCATTTCCAATGACTATAAAAACTGCACAGGTCTAGGGCTAAGGTGGGTTTAAGGAAACTTTTTATGCCTCCTTATCTGCACAGCATAAACTCTACTTAGGAGTTTCAAAGGCTAGGGTCACAGCCAGTGTATAGAACAGCTTGTCTGTGGGATACTTGCTCTCTCCTCTTGTCAAGAATAATACAAAATGGCGGTATCCTTGGAGCCAATATTGCTCCAACCCCAAGGATAATCACTCAAAACATCAGTAACAAAACTGTAATGCATGTAGGCTTTTGTTATAAACAAGAGCTAACATGATAACTCAGGGGAAAACTTTTTATGTACCGGGTTAGGTGATTTGAGATACAATATTGACATGAAAAGGTTTAATATTATAATCTCTGTGAGAGTTTTTGTGGATTTTGAAATATAAGAATCCATGAAAAAAATCATTCTGAAACTGGCCACAGTTTGTCAGGGCCAAGACTAAATTCTGTAATCATCAACTTTCAATTATCTGTTTGAAAACTCAGTTGTGTTACAGACTATAATAGTACAAATTCAAAAAATCTATTTGGCTTTGGAATTTTTATATCTTTTTCAGGTCTACTCCACCTTCTTAATGATAGTTTATGTTCATATTAAAATGAATTTTCAATCTCTGAGCACACAAGAACTGAAAGTAGAGAGTGGTAGTCTAGAAATGTGTCAAGAGACACAGAAAAGCCAGCCTGACTCTTAAAATGTGTTAGTATTGTGCAATGGAATATTTTGTAGCCACGTATTACTATTCAGGACCCTGGAAGAAAGCTAACTGGAATTATCTTAAACAAAAAAAGGGAATTTATTCACTAACATAGTCAAGTACAGACTGCTCTAACACTTGTCTATTCCTTTGTGACTAATATATTAGAGACAATTTAAGCGGAAGGTGAATTTTGCATTTGCTTATGTGCAATTTTGTCAGCCAGATACAGGTGAAAACAGAAAACTACACCCAGATGAATCAAGTTGCGTAGGAATACACAAAATACACGCACACAGACCTCAGACGTCTACCAGTTACCTCACTTCATTGTGTGTTTTGAGTCACACTCATCCACATGGAGTGTTACAGCTTTCCATCTGATTTCAGATAACCCTCCTTCCACCACTTCACAATAATTCACAAGTTGCAACCCTTCTGATAACCCATTTCCACAAGCAAACTTTAGTTCTTTTTCAAAATAAAGCACCATATTTATTGTAGTATTTATGTATTTCTTAACCATTTAACGTGTAAAACTGCTACCATTTTCATTAGGTTTGTATCTTTTTGTGTATGTGTCACTGACAGTTCTTAAATGTTGCACTCATAGCCCCATTTCCCCCATAAGCCCTGTGGTTTTTATTGAACAACTTTGCATAACGCAGTAATTTTGTGGGAAAGCATATGTTGTCTTTTTTAAAATTTATTTATTTATTTTTGGCTGCATTGGGTCTTCGTTGCTGCACGAGGGCTTTCTCTAGTTGCGGCGGGCAGGGCTACTCTTCCTTGTGGTGCGCGGGCTTCTCATTGCAGTGGCTTCTCTTGTTACGGAGCATGGGCTCTAGGCACGCAGTCTTAGTAGTTGTGGCGCATGGGCTTAGTACTTGTGGCGCACAGGCTTAGTTGCTCTGCGGCGTGTGGGATCTTCCTGACCAGAGCTCGAACCCGTGTCCCCCACATTGGCAGGCAGATTCTTAACCACTGTGCCACCAGGGAAGTCCCCATATGTTGTCTTATAGCAGCACAGACTATAGTCCAGATGAAGTAGCTTTAGGCATGGCTGGATCTAGGGTCTAAGATATATCAAAACTTTCTCTTTCTGTCTGCCTCTCTTCTTTGCTTATCTCTGCTTGTTTTTGTGCTTTGGCTTCAATTTTCCTATCACAGACAGCTTCCTTTTTGTACTCAGCAAAGATGGCTGCAGGCAACTTCAGTTTATAATGTCTTAATAATTCTCAATCCCAAAGGAAGTAAAACTTTCTCTTGGTGTTGATATATTAAATCTCAGGGTCTATGTTGATTGGTCTTAGGAAACCTCTCTGGGTCAACTGATTCCCTGCCACACACCATGTGGGGAGAGACTACTGTGATCATCTTCCTCACGGACCACATGGAGTATGCAATGGATGTTTTTTTCAAGAAAGGGTTACTAGCAGACAGGAACAACGTGCTAACCACCAGCAGTTAAGGGGTAAGTCTCTTTATTCATTGACATGACAGGAGCTCATGATGCATTAAAATGAAAACAGATGTCATGAAATAACTGCATGAGGAATAATCCCATTTATGTAAGATTATTTATCTGTGTATCTATATGTGTATATAAGCATAGGGAATTCTGGAAGAATATTCATAAATGCTTGATGGTGATTGTCTTTGGTTGCTGATTAAAATAATAATGAAAGTTTTGGTTATTTGTACCTTTATATAATGACTCAGTTTTCTACGGTGAATATGTATTACTTTGTAAACAAGGGGAAAATGTTGAAAGAAAATATATAAGCAATCATATACAAGGTAGACTTACACACAAAATGAAGATCTGAGATTCATTCCCAATATAGTGCATGACTGTGAGTCCTGGGCCTATTACAGGTGTCACACTTAGCTTTTGGAACAGTTTAATAAGGGCCACTGAGAAAATGAACTTGGAAAAGATAGTCATATTTTCTGCACTGCAGGCCTGACACACAAAGAGAATGGTAACGGTAATTTCCAAAGCAACTGTGAAGTGGTGCACTGATATGGAGCTTCTAGAAGCAAAGTATAATATTAGAGGTTCACTTGTAAATAATATGGACTAAGCATAATTTTGTTTTTCAAAACAATAAGCAGTATATGTGGCCTGATCTAAAGAGAGAAAAACTAAGACATATGAAACTTATGCTTTAAAATTTCACTCCAGGTCAAAATCTGAGGAAGAGATCTTTTATTTTTCTTTCAGGGAAGAAAAGGAATATATACATACATACATATATATACATATATACATATGTATTTTTTAATTGGTGAAACAATCTAGTGGCAAACATTTATATAGAAATATCAATCAGGCTAATGCATGTGTGCGTGCTGTTACAATTGGAAGGGACTTTAAAGGTCACTAGTGTAAGCCTCATATCTAATGCATGAATTCTTTTTACAAACTTCCCCGATAAGTGGTCACTCAGGGACATGGAACTTACTATTTACCCAGTCCATTTTTTTGATAAATGTTAACGAATCTCTTCATTGTATTTAGCCCAAATCTGCATTTCTGTATTTTCCTTCCACTGGTTATAATTCTGGCTACTAAATCCATACAAAACCTTTAATCTATTTAAAGATGATTATCAGTCCTCTTTATGTTCTTCATCTTGGGAGCATACAGTTGACCCTTGAACAATGTGGGGGTTAGAGGTCAAAAAATCCACTTATAACTTTACAGTTGGCCCTCCGTATCTGTGGTTACGCATCTTCGGATCCAGCCAACCTCGGTTCACGTAGTACTGTAGTATGTATTTATTGAAAAAGATCCACATATAAGTGCACCTGCACAGTTCAAATCCGTGTTGTTCAAGGGTCAACTGTATGCTGATTTGTTTATGCTGAATGTGTTCAGAGACAAAGATAAGTGGGAATTTGAGCTGCACAATTAAAGTGGTACATTAAATAAGTATGTGATAATATGTGTACATAGTAAACATATTCACCTTATGTACAGGATACCTGTTTAATGGTGTGCCCTCTATGTGTACCTAGTGATAATATGTTACATCAGAATCACTCTTTATGCTTTCTGAGACAGTTTTACATGTCTTATGTCATTCAATGATAAAATAATAATTGCTATCTTTAAATTAGTGCTAGATACTGTATTAAGTGCTTTGCACATATTATTTCACTTAATCCATCATGCACTATATGAGGAATATACTACTATTATCCCCATTTTGTAGGTAGGGAAACTGAAGTTTAGAAGAGTTAAGTAACTTACCCAGAGTTTTACAGCTAGCATTTAGTGGTGAAGATTTAAGCCCAAGGTCACACTTATTTTATTTTATTCTATTTTATTTTATTTTTGTTATCTTCCCAGAGTTTCCTCTAGTTTGACTAACTTATAGCAAATGAGCCATGTTAATGAGTGAAGTGTCTGAAATAATAATATTACAACAAAAGAATTAAAGCAATTGGTTGATATTTCTTTTTTTCCCACTTTTTATGGTATTTATCTAAATAGGAACATCTCAACATTGGTGTTTATGGTAGGCAGAATTTTAAGATAGACCCTTAAGATTTCCTAGCTTCTTCTATACACACATCTTCTCCCAGTTATTCAATTCAATGCTAATCTAGGTGCTGCTATGAAGGGATTTTGCAGATGTAATTAAAGTCCCAAATCAGTTGTCTTTAAGATAGCGAGATTATACCTGTGGATCTGACCTAATCACATGAGCCCTTTAAAAGCAGAATTTTCTCTGACTGGTGGGAAAAGGAAGTCAGAGAAATACACTCTGGCAGGCTTGGAAGAAAGCAAACATCTAAAAAAAAAGAAAGCAAACATCTAAAAAGAAGAAAGCAAACATCTATGCTGTATACTGCCTTTGTGGCCAAGGGGTGTGGAATGTGGCCTCTAGGAACCAAGAGTAGCTCCCTGCTGATAGTAAGGAAAGGGGGACCTCAGTGTTCTGGCTACAGGGATCTGCGTTCTGCCGACAACCTGAATGGGGTGGGAAGAGGATCCCAAGCTCCATACGAGAAAGCAGCCTAGCTGACATCTTGATTTCAGCCTTGTTAGACCCTGAGCAGAGAGCTCAGCCACACTACCCAGCCTTCTGATTTACAGAACTGTGAGCTAACAAATTCGTATTTTTTTAGGCCACTTTTTTAGGCCACTAACAAATTGGTAATTTGTTATGAAACAATAGAAAACGACTCCAGGGGTACATATCCTTATCTTCCCTCTGCTAGTTAAGAACCATGAATCTAGGTAGGTCACGGCAAAACAAGTGTGATACATCAGCAGGTGCTGTTTGCTTTCTGAAGTCCTTGAGTGCACTTGGGAATAAATGTAACACTGGGAGTGAACATTAAGGTGTAATATAACAGAAGAAAAAACAGTGAGATCAGAAAAAATTACCTAACATGCATTTAAGATATGAAAGAAGTATCTTGCTTCACATACACTCACACACAGTACACCCAAAATTCAACCCCGTTTGCAAAATATTCTCCAGAACCGCAGCAATCCTGCTACCCGTGTGATGTTAGGGACTCTCTGGTTCCCTTGCTTCTGTGGTCTTTAACCATTGAGTGAACCTGCCTGCCTTTAGAATTTAGACTTAGTTTCACTGTTAATCTTACTACTGACCTTCCAGTATTTTTATATGGCTTCACAGTGGTTGCTTGATCATTCATTCATTCTTTCATTCATTCAACAGAGGGCTTGCTATATGCTAGGCATTGTACTAGTAGTGGGTTAACAGTGGTATAACAGTCCTTCTGGGCTGGGCTTTTCATCCCTGTCACCTAAACTCTTAATTTGAGCTCTGACTTGTAGCTTCAGTACTCTGTGCCTGGCATCTGACACATGTAATCCAGGTCACCCTGAATAACTAAATGCCTAGCTTTTCATTTATGGCTTTTGCCTATGTTCCTCATCTTTGAAGCCTAAACTTCTGGTCACCAGCCTTCTCCAGCTTGCCTTGACCACAGTCTTCCAATGTTCCCTGGCTAGTACTAAGTTATGGACTTGAAATCTAGCTTGTCATGCCAAATATTTTCTCCTACTTCAGTCATCCTCTCCATCTGGGTCACACTGGCTGGCCATTCTCGTTGGTCAGTATCTCTTCAATCTTTAGACCCAGCTTGACCATATACATCTTGAAGTTGAGAAATAGTAGACATAATTTTAGTTTTTCAAAATTTTAACAAAGTTTTATACCTAAAAGGGCCATTTTGTCAAAAGTAGACAATTTGTTTAAAAACTAATCAGGGACCTGACCTCAGTCTTGGACAAAAGTCTGAAAGTCATGACCTAAGAAGAGGGATGGGGAGATGAAAAGGGAATAATCACTTGTGCTGTACCAGTGATCTGGCTGGCTTTTTACATGTTATCTCAGTCATTCAGTTCTCAAACCTTCCCCCACTGTGTTTATTAAAAAATTTTTATACGTAGGGACCTGAAGCACAGTAGCAGGGTCAGAATTTGAACTTAGGTGTACCTGGCCCTTAAATGCACACTTTTCCCAGTATACTGCATCAAAATGCATACTTTTCTCTCTGTTTTTCCTTTTGGAGATTGCAGAATGGTCAAGCTAGGAGTTAGAATTAATAGAGCTCACCTATCAGATACCACTTCAGACTCTGAAGGAAATGTCTGTGTTGATTATACAGAATCGCATGTCTAGTATTCTGAAAAAGACCATAAGGTTTATTCAAGCAACTGTGCTCATTGCCCTTTGCTCTTTTTGAAGATGACACGAATGGACACCCTGATTGTGGTCAATCCAGGATTCTCATGTGGGCAAATGAAACGTTGATATTTGCCTAATAATTTAGTAGACAAAGTGAGCAAGCTCGCTAAATGTGGCCTGAATCTGAGGATTTGTATTTCGCTAACTGTGGAAAATTCATAGCCATTCTCTCTTATTCTCTTTGATATTTCCTTCTAGAACTTCCACTAGATGCATGTCGATCCGTCTCATTATATCCTCCATATGTCTTCACCTGTCTTTCATATTTTCCCTTGTGTGTATTTTGGTATTTATTTGTGAGCACACATTTCATTGGAACTTTCTCTCTGAAGATTGAAACCTGGGTTTAAAGTGAACACTTCTAGGGGAGAGTTGCTCCTACTACTCACCTGGGAATACTGCCAGTCCAGGACTATTTTAAGCTAAATTTCTGGTATGAGGTGTTTTGGCCATAGAGGTAATGTGATTTCTGGGCCCAGACCTGCCTGGGGTTATGATGTCTAAAGGAAATTTCTCTCTCTCTCTCTCTCTCTCTCTCTTCTACGCAGAGCCAAAACCAGGACAAGCACCTATCTCTACCATCTGCCTCTGGGTGGTAGTTTTGCCCCCATTCATCCATGAAGAGCATCACCCTTTGGGGGTATGACTTTAAGCAGAGAAAGAAAGGGATGGTGTGTGCCTGATCTAACTTCTAACCTTGCCTGGGCCCCAGGATTTGTCTTTTTGGTCCCTTGCA